ACCTTCTTATCAGTGTTCTGGTTTTATTTAATCATATAAACACTAAATACCTTTTTGAAATAATCTTTGTAAAGTTTTAAGGGACTTTGTTTAATCCCAACACTGTTTTAAATGTTGTGTTCAAAATCATTAATATTTTAAAATAAAGCAGCAGTGCTTGCAGTCGGTACCTTTGATCCTCAGCTCTGCCTGTTGGATGGATCAGTTCAATTCAAGTTTATTTATATAGCGCCAAATCACAACAAGAGTCGTCTCAAGGCACTTCACATAATAAACATTCCAATCCAGGTCAGTTCATTAAGCCAATCAGAAAAAATGTTTCCTATATAAGGAATCCAGCAAATTGCATCAATTGACTGACTAGTGTCAGTGACTATACAGCAATCCTCATGCTAAGCAAGCATGCAGCGACAGTGGAGAGGAAAACTCCCTTTTAACAGGAAGAAACCTCCAGAGAATCCTGGCTCAGTATAAGCAGCCATCCTCCACAACTCACTGGGGATGGAGAAGACAGAGCAGACACACACACACACACACACACACACGTAAAAATTTATATTCGGCTGAGTCCAGGTGAGCCAAGTTAAGGTTGGTTTATGCTTGACGCGTCTGCGAGGTCTGCGTGGCGAAATTGCGTCATTTTAACAACCACGCCCCTCCACCGCGCCTTTGCACGGCCCAAAATTTCCGCACCGCGCACCTAGGAAAATTTCTAACCACGCGGACGTTCGGACGCGGAAAAACATGGCGGACTGGCAAGAACTAATATGGCAGAGGTTGGTAAACACAGACATTTGTATGATTCAGCTCTCAGAGATCACCGTGATCAACATGTTGTTAATAATTCTTGGAGAGAAATAGCTCGCACTGTCGGAAAAGACGAGGACGCTGTTAAAAATGCTGGAATGCCATGTTGTAAACAGTAATTTCTACTTCTACTATGGTGTAGTGTTGGATGCATGCCGTAGAGCTCCATGCTGCCCCCTACAGTTTGGGAGAATATTGGCTCACCGCAGAAACGAGCCGCATGAACCATAAACGCTGCAAGTTGTGAAGCACGTTCCGTCCGCGAGCCGCATCACCAAGCGGAAAGTAAATGCGTCAAGCATAAACCAAGATTAAGGGAAGGCAAGGAAACACCATCAGAGGAGCCGTCTGCCCCGGCAGCATCAGGTCTTCCACACTAAGTCAGGGCGCTCAGAGGAGGGGAGCATAGACCCCCACCTCCATTTAAACACTACCTGTGGAGCGCCCAGGAAGCAACAGTCGCCCACCGCCCCTGGGGCAGAGGGCCCCTACAGAGAAAACACTGGATTAAAATGAGTAAAAATATGAAAATAAAAGAGCTAATATAAGGGACAAAAAGTAAGAACATTTATTATAAAATCATATAGACAGTAAAATAATATTAAATAATGAAACAGTGCTAAAATAAAATCATATAAAACATGCAAAGCCAGTAATAAAATATTATCTATTTCAGCTCCTTAACCTGCTTCTTTCATGCTTGATTCTGCAGATTTTGTCGGACCTTTCATGATTCTTATGATTCTCTTTGAATTTTAGTTGGACTTAAAATCTTTACAGCTGGTTGTAGCCTTGAAGCTACTTTGAATGCCCCCCCTAAAGTTTATACTTTAGCAAATAAAAGAACTCGGAAACAAAAGAACTCGGAAACAAAAGGAGGAAATGCTTCTGGATAGTTTTAGAAATAGTCTCCCTTCCCTGACCAGGACCATTAAGAGACATCCACGCAGAACCCTCTGCTCCTGACCCGTCCTCATCTTGGTCAGAGGTTGTGGTACATGGCCATAGGAGAGCCCCTATTGGTGACCTCTGATCCCCCTTATAGAAATTGTTAAACAGTTTTTTGCTGAGTCATAACATCTCAGTCACGCTGATATTTTTATCAATCTAAATTGTCGAGTCTGATTTTTATCTTCCACCACCTAAAAGTGAACAAAATGTTTCCGTGTATTTGCGTTACCATTTGCAAACATACCATGAACCACTTGATGGGTTTTAATTAAACTTCATCTGATGTGTGTCTACAACTGACTAACCTTTGAAGTCGAGGAGATTCTGGTCCACCACCGCCTCAAGAGGGGAAAGTCGTGCACCACCAACACTAGTGGGGACAGTGTGCTGCTGACCTCAATCGGGATGCTCTGGATCGGTGGGCGAAGTACTTCAAAGACCTCTGCAATCCCACCGGCAGGTCTGCCAGTGAGGAAGTCCAGGGAATTTGGGTAGAGTTCTCCAATCCCTGGGGCTGAGATGGTCGGAAAGCTCCTTGGTGGCAAGGCCTCGGGGGCGGATGACATTCACCCGGAGTTCCTTAAGGCTCTGGATGCTATAGGGTTGTATTGGCTGACGCGGCTCTGCAGTATCGCGTGGACGTCGGCGGCAGTTCCACTGGATTGGCAGGCCGGGGTGGTGAATAGACACGCTGGAGGGACCATGTCTCTCGGCTGGCCAGTGAACGCCTAAAGCCTGGGGCACACAGAAGGCAGATGCGCAGCGCCACGTCACGCCCGGGCCGTCATTTAAAAAAGAAGCCGTTATATTTACTGAGAGTGGTGACATGGGGAGCGCAACACCATGTCCCAGAAACGCCAGTCCGCGCGGAGTCGCTGAAGAAAGTGCCAGTTCCATTTCAGACACCGCGGCACGGTTGTTTACAACGTTAAGTACTTTACAGACATTACGACGGCGCTTCCGTGGAGCAGCGCATGTCTTCTGTGTGTCCCAGGCTTTAGGATCGCCCTGGAGCAGCTGTGGATGGAGAGAGGGAAGTCTGGGCCTCCCTGCTTAAGCCTGAGTCATGCTTCTGCGTCTGCGTCAGCGCGGAGACACGCAACGCCATTATCCGTCCTTGCGTAGGCCCCCCGGCAGGCACGCAAGTACGTACGGAGTTGAGCCCACTTTTCTTAACATCCGTTGAACGAGATGGAGAACGCTTGCTTGTGATTGGTCAGTCCTGAGACCTGAGATCACTTCCGTCACGACGCCATTGCCTTTAAAGTAGTCAACAGTGCCAGAGTCGTGTCGGAAGTCGTGTGGTGAAGAAGTGAGCAGATATGGACCAGTTAGAGGAACGTCTAGCAGAAGAAGTGCGAAATCCAACTGATCAAACTTCTCTGTTGTTGCTTGAAGTGAATTCCAAGTAAATAGTCACTGTACTGCTACGCTACGCCCCCTGCTGTCCTGGCGGAGAAATGCTTTGCTACACCCCTTCAGCAAACGGGGAAGTATGAGAGCAAAATGCTTTCGTGAATCCGTGCGTCTCGGTCCCTTGTGGAGCTGATGCAGAAGCATGACTCAGGCTTCAGGCTGCTGCCCCCGCGACACGACGCCAGACAAGGGAACGAAAACAGATGGTCAGCCTGATTCAAGATGGCCGCCACAGCCCATCAACACCAGTGAACACATGAATGGCGAAAACTTCATCTGCTTTACAGATATTGAGGTAAAAGTTGGAGTTGTTGCTTAGATTCAGTCCGACTCAGCATGACGACGTTAAACATGTCCACTCTGCAGTGCGGTTGCTCCATCCTCCAGCTGACCAAATCAGGTTCTCCTTTCCCTTATTTCACTCGAGGTGCCAGCGCCGCACCGGGAGCTGTTCGCAAAACAAAATGCAAGCTTGTTCCAAACCACGAGACGGGAGTGTTGACATGTGTTTTTATCATTTCTGCAAAGAGGATTTTCAGGTTATTTGGAAGCACAGCTTCCAGTTGCTGAGCTGTCTGGAAGCGTACAGCCACCATGTTACTTTTTCCACCCTAATAAATATCAAACAGGAGTTTGTGTCGGAAAGGCCCGGAGCCGTTCCAGGCAGCCGGTACTGTAAACCGATATGGACGCCCAGTCGTGACCTCAGCCTCCAAGTATGAATCCTGGGCCTGATCCGAGGATAACCGAGACTAATCATGTGTCCCTGTGGAGAACCGAGGGCTCAGAAAGGGATTTACTCAGATCTTGGTGGCATTCCCGTTCTCAAATAGGATCTCAGATCAGTCATTTAATTATACTCAGCTTCTGAAATGGCACATTTCCTTTGTGTTTGTTACAGCGGCCATCCTTCGTGTGGAAACTAAAGAACCACGGTTCTGATCGTGTTACAGCATCCTTCCCTTAGGGTTCTGGTCAGTCCAACAGCTGGACTCAAGCTGTTCCCCAACGGGCCCTCGGGACTTGTGCCCGTATGATCCTGGTGATGAACACAGGTGGTCTCGGAGTGGTCCAGGCCTTCTCGTGAGGCACACAAACCCTGCAGGGTCTCAGCTGTGGACAAGCTGGAGATAATGGATCCTTCTGGATCCTCTCCATTAGCTTTAACCATTCAGGTCCTAATGTGGTCCAGGAAGTATTTAAACTGCATCACATGAACACCGTTAAAAAGCCAAGGACTAACACTTCCACACCAACAGAACCTTTTCTGTACATTACCGCATGGTTTCAAATCCTGTCATTTCTAATGTCCCCTTCAGTGAACCGGGATTTTCTCCCCTCAACGTTTCTTTGGTTGCCGTCGCTCATTTTCTGAAACAGCGTAATGTTCTGTTTAGAATTTTTAGGCCCAAAGTACTTTAGCCACCGATGGAAATGAAGTTAGCACAAATCCAGCCTCAGGCCTAAAAGTGTACAACGAATCAGCAGGATTCACCCCATTGGAGCTCAGCTTTAGCTCATCCCTTTAGAAATCCCAGCACAAAGACCAAATCATGAAGGGAAAAGCAGAAGAAGAACAAAGAACGCCCAGGAAGTCCGTCATAATGTTCTGCTGCTTTTACCTCAAATTAGCAACTTAACATTAAAATCAGTGGACCTCTGACAGGGCAAGTATTTAAAGCTATTCAGGCACAAATCCTTTGTTGTTCTAGTCAGTGAACATCTGGAAACCACTGGTTTAGGTGTGAGGTGAAGTCACGCTCGCCTGAAACACTTTTGCTCGGTCCTACAGCACCATCTAGTGGCAGAAAGCTAACAGCACAGAATCCATTTAATAGGTTTAATAGAATAAAAGGCATTCATAAGTCATTTTAAAAGCATCGCTGTACATTTCTCCCCCCACCCCCCCCCCTCTCATAATAAAAGCATTTAAAAAAAAAATCAGTAAGAGTGGGAAAAATTCATCCACTGGACCATCATGGCCATTGCAGAATTGGTCCATGTGACCACAAACCCGTTTAGAACAGCTGGAGTTCAAAGGTCAAGATGTCCGTCACGATGAAGGTGGTGGAAAATGAGAGCGGGTGCTAACCGGCTGGATCGGTCCAAGAACCAAAAACTCGATCCAGCGGCAGAAAACTGGCGACATCTACAAAAATAAAACCCTCCCAACTGTCCAGGCAGGTTCGAGAATAAAATTACATTTTTACAAGTTGGCACACGATGATGCCAGAGATTGTCCTCTCCTCACTGGGCGAGCTGCTTTGCCAGATCTTTGACCACAGAAGACTTGAGCTGAGGGATGGCGGCGATTCTCATCTGCTTTGACGAGGAGTACTTCCCCTTGATTGCCTGAAAAGATGCAAAAAGCAAAACGTTAAGGTGTGGTCCTGCAGGTCCCGTCCCATTCAGCTACTATACTGGACCTGTTCAGCAGCCTCTTCACCACCCGACTCGCAGCAGGTGGGTCGGAGCTGTGAAAGCCATGGCGGCCCTCAAGGCCCGGGGCTGGGCACACCTGGTTCAAGTGCTAAAAAGCTTACCACATGCTTGGTCAGCCCGTCCGTCACCTTGACAACGTTCTTGGCGATGTGCCCCATAACAGGAATCAAACTCTCTGCCGAGTAGTCCATGTAGTGCTGCAGCGTCACATCCTGAACAAAGACGTCACACCTCAACCTTCAGGTCATTTAGCCAGTTGGTGACCGAGTTAAGGAGCGGCGTACTTGGGACTGATGAGCTAACTGCTAGTCAAAGGTCAACATCCACTGAATGAATCTGACATTTATGCCTAAACTACATTAAGCAGATAGTGGTGGAAATAGTTATATTAAAGAGCAAGTCACCCCCTACCAGGGTATTACTCCGCTCACACTTCCTGTTTTAAAAAAAATGCAACTAATGCTGTTACCTAGCAGACCGAGAGGGCCACACACACACACGACATTGTGACATATCATGGTACCAGCTAACATTCTAGGTAGCCAATAGCGGTGGCAGATTTAAATTCAAATGCAGCGCAGAGTTTTTACCCGACGACGGCACAACACTGACAGTTTTAGGCAGAAATTTTAACTAAAATGCACTAAAGTGCAAAACTGTTGACTACATGTGTCTGCAGCACGATTAGACACGCATTTATATAGTTTATCAGAAAAAACAGTTGATTTGGGGGTGACTTGCTCTTTAATGTTCGTTGCATCAGTCGGAGTAGCCATTAGCCTGTGATGAACCCATTTTAGTAACCCAGGAGTATTTTAAAAATCGCATACAAACCCATTCGCCTGCTTCCAGGACCTTCAAGGTGAACGCCAGAGCAGCACTGGCCACCATAGAAGGAGGGAAATGAACCATCTCGTAGTCCATCATGGTGAGCTCCAGGACGTATTTGGCTAGAGTGTGCTGCTCCGCCGTTACCTGTGGACCAAAGGCAGAAGTCAGCAGACAAGTCACTGAAGATCAGCTGGACTTTAGCCTCGACACAAACCTCATAGATCTTTGAGGCCCTTCTGAGGAACTGCAGGGGAAGTGGTCGGCCAAGCTGAAACTTCAGCTCTCTCAGAATGGTCATCTCCATGTCCCGGATCTGAGCAGTGGTGTAGGCCCGGTCCGTCACATAGGCAAAGTCCGAGATCTCCGGAGGATACATTTCCTCATATTTGGAGGCAAGGAACATGGCGGTCACGCCCACTAGCTGCAGCTGCTTCTTGGGGACTGGATGGTCCTGTTGGAGACGCAGGAACGTGCACATTTAACACCTTTAATCTCTACACGTGGATACGTCTACCCACCGACGACGAGCGTGGGAATTACCTGAAGAAAGCGATCGATTATTCCAACGGTCATGTACATGGTCTCCTGCAGCAGACGGAACTTGAGGCTCACTTGCACCAGCCAGTCGATGAGGATGGCCCTCATATTCCCGGTAACCTCCTGACCCTGTAGGTAAGTGGGCCTGACGTTCTGCTCAACCTCCAGCTGACGGAGATACTTGTAGATGTCCTTCACATATTCACTGCAGAGCATGGGATTGTCATAGTCGTCCGCATCCACGTCCCTGACAGCGGTGTGGAGCAGGACGTCTGAAAACGCCTGGCAGAGATCAGCGGGTTTGCAGCCAGACGTCTCCATCGGAGTGGGCGAGGTGGGTTCAGGCGGCACCTGGAGCAGAGGAAGTTCAACACGTTTTACAGGTGCGTCAGCGCATGGATCGAATCAGGATTTAAACTAATCAGATGACTCACCTGAACTTCAGGCTCAGGGTCAGCAGCAATGACGACCGGAGGCTTGGGCTGTTCCACCTTTACCGCTTTAGGTACAACTTCAGGCTTCTTTGCAGCATCGATCTTGACATTCTAAATCCAAATATGGTCATTGAAGCAGCCATGGAGAAATTACATCACCTGGTGCTTCACTAGAGTTAAACCGAAGATTATACAGTCTTGACAAGTTTACGCAGGTACGCTAAACAGATCCGATTACCCACTTTAAAGTAAGCATACCTAGTGAGGCAGCCAGGCTGCATCCAGGTGGGTCACCAAGGCTAGGGCGGGGCTTTAAGAAGGTGACATGTCCAATGCAAGAGTACCTTCTAGGTGGATGTGTGCATGAAAATGGCTTCTTCCAGGCACCGGGGCTCTGCAGCGCCCCCTACTTGAACGTGTTATTATGGGATTAAAAAAAACCTTTACCTGTCCACCACTTTATTTAAATAGCACGTTAACAGCAGCATGTCTGCTAGCATGTGCTCTACATGTTAGCAGCGCTTTAAAAGAGAATGACTTCATCACATCGAGTCTAAAGTAGACGCATGAAGTTCTCACGTGTGAATATTATTAATACCATAAAAACTCGAGTATTTAAAACTTCTCACCTTTTTCTGAACCTCTTTGTTCAGCGGGACGTTTCCGATCTCACCAAGCGCGCCTCGAGGCTTCTGCTTGGGCCCGTTCATGCAGGCCTTCCCTCCTCCGAGCTCGGTTCTGGTAGAACCGAGCCGAGTCTGCAGAGAAACAAAAGAGTCCTTTAGCCGCTGCTGCATGTCGTTCATCTATAAACACAAAATCCGCTTCAGGTTTGACTCTGAACTCTCAGCAGGACAGTGCCTGAACTGGTGAGGTACACCGAAGCACGGAAGCATTTTAAACGCTAATACTAATCATTCGACATGTTTCTAGGCGTGTTTACGCGGATAAAGAGCTGTAAGACCCGACTAAAGACTCACTCTGGTCACTCGAAGAGCCATTTTCAAGTCTGCGTGGTTCCGACAAGCAGTGAAAGAGTCGTAATGCCGAGCGAACGAGTTCAGCTAAAGACTCGCTGTCTTCGTTTAAATCCTCGTGCGCTGCAAGCTGATTCGCTGCGCTTTGACTTCTCCGAGCATCTGATTGGTCCATCAGGCAGGCAATGAATGCGTTTCCTAGACAACGTACGATCACGTGACATCCTCGTATTTCCTTTTCCTGTTGCGTCTTGCTATTTTCCCTGTTTTCTCCTGCTCGTTAGTCAGTGAAACCTCGATATAAATATAAATAACAGATCAGTATGTGTCAGTTTATAATTAGACCGCCATACACATTCATTAGCTTTTTATCAGCCTCTTAATTAGTTTATTCAGATTTGCTACTCACTTGTAGGTGTTTTTGAAACCACATGCTGTTTAAAAGTAAATGATTGTTCGGGGAGTGAAAACCAGTGCTTCCAGTTTGGCTCGTGCCTCTCATGTCTGAAACAAACCACAGCTGTTGATAAAATAGTAAAACTTGGGACTAAAAGATGCTTTCAAACAACGCACAAACATTTCGAAATACAAAATCACGATAAAATATTTTTTGTTTTATGAGCAAACGTAAAAGTGAACATATGAATTTATTTTACTGAGAAAAATGTGTAGAATATTGCACACTTAATGGTGTAGAGAGTGTTTAGAAAATCGCAAAATAGACTTCTATGTGAAAATAGTAGAAACCTTGTAGCTTGCTCGTGTATTTGTGAACTTTTACAGAAATATGTACAGAAATGTCTGCGGACCCACATGGAGAGTCGTGATTAACGTTGGACGATGACAGGTGAGTTCCTGAGCCTGAATGTGCTGCACCATGGACGTCACTAGGATTGAGATATGGGGGGGGGCTTAGCCCCAGGAGCTTGACCTTGAACGTTTTTTGTCACACCCTGCAAAAACTTTGTCAATTAATTCATTATATGAAGAACATTTAACAAAACCTATTATTTCATCACTTTCTTTTCCTTTCCTACCTTTGTGCATTTTCTCTCTTCTTTTTATAAAAAATAACAATCAGTTAATTAGTGGGGTCTATGTTGAAGAAAGATTTTATGTAAGTCCATTAAAAATTAGATATGTTATATTTCCAAATAAAGCTATTCATTTCAGTCTACTGCACTTAACAGGGGGAAATGTTGTAGTCATTTATTTAATTTGTTGAATTACAACTTGTTTAATTATAACTGTTACTGAAATGTGACAATAAAGAACAAATGAATAATTGTCAAACTTTTATTCTGCCAAATGAGTGTGCAGTTGACAATTTTAATATATGAATAACACTGCTATGATATGGAATAAAGGAGTATGGTAATTAACTATTACAAGACAAAATAACAGTATATTAAGAGCCCACCCCATAATCGAAGGATTGCAGATTCTAGCCCTGTCTGTTGGTGTTGTTGTTTCCTTGGACAAGACACTTAACCCGTTTTGCCTGCAGGTGGTGGTCGGAGGGACCAATGGCACCTGTGTACGGCAGCCTCGCCTCTGTTCGTGAGCCCCGGGGCAGTTGTGGCAACATCGTGGCCAGGGGTGGACTGGGACCAAAATTTGGCCCTGGCATTTTTATGAACCGTCGGCCCTCGGTAGGGGAGGTTGCTGCTTGTGACTCGTCTATCCCGCCAAATGTGGGGGGAGGGACGGGGTGTTGTGTGTGCTGCTCGCAGACTTGTCTCTATTGTCACATGTGAGACGGGGGCTTGGTTTGGAACGGCCCAAGCTGGGCAAGTGGCCCACTTGACTAAGCGGCCCACCGGGATAGTGCCAGAATGCCAGATAGGCCAGTCCACCCCTGATCGTAGCTTATCACCATCCAGGTGGTGACTGGGTGTGTACATGGGTGAATGGCTGATTGTATTGTAAATTGCCTTGGGAGGTTATAGGATTCTGGAAAGTTCTATATTTATTACAATCCATTTACCATTTAACACATTAGTTTTCAAAGTATGGCGGCACACAGATGTCAAAAGTCGCGTAGCCGTAGTAGTTCTAGGAATTTTCCCACAAGAAGATAAACAGCTCAGTAGTTTAGTGTTGATGGCTGATCAATGGTTCCTGAAGAGGAAACTTGGCTTTCATTAGCATGTTCCATGGTTCACAGACAACAGGCGTTCAGTTCTGTATCAGTGTGTGTTTACACTGACTCATCAGTCCAAAGTAGAAACATCTGCACATTCAACTCAACACATTGTTCTGTTTTAACTTCAGGAGCCCTTTTGAAAAAGCAGGGCAGTTTTCTGGGGTTGTTGTTCAATTCAATTCAATTCAAAAATACTTTATTAATCCCAGAGGGAAACTGATTGCTGTAGTAGCTCAGAATAATAATAAGAATCAGGTCATCAAAGAGTTGTTGTATATTACAATGGCTGTTGGCAGGAAGGATCTCCAGTAGCGGTCAGTGTTGCAGCCAAACTGAAGAAGCCTCTGACTGAAGACACTCTTCCGTTGTCGGACAGTCTTGTGAAGAGAATGCTCAGGGTTGTCCATCATTTCCTTGATTCTCTGGAGAATCCTTCTTTGCATTATCTCCTCCAGCGGTTCCAAAACTGCCGAAACTCTGGTTGAGTCCTTGAAAGGGCTTGGAGTTCCTCCATCTTGTTGGCCAGTGATCTCACATGGCCCATTATGATCAATGGAAGAGATGGTTTGAATTTCCTCTTTCTCTGTCTCCGTTTTGCTCCCGCTCTGCACCCACGCTTCTTGCGTTTTAGCTCATTTGGGATTTGGGGCTTCAGTTGAGGTATTATTTCAGCCTTTCCAGTAATAATCAGCTTCTCCCGATTGTAAACCAGCTTGTTGCCATGGTTACGCATCATAACAAATGCTCAAAAAGTGAAAAAAAAGCTAGAAAATAGCAGTAAAAATCCTCCAAGCTTCACAGCACCAGAAACAGAAAAGTTAAATGTCCAAAAAATACAGTTTTTCTTGAGACACTAGAAGAAAAAATGCCCAAGAAAAGGCAAAACTTACATTTGGTCAGCAGAGCTACTCCAACATGCAGCCGCCCAGAGCAGCGCAGTTCCGCAGTTCGGTCTTTTCCGCTGCAGGGGCCGGGGTCAACAAGTCACATACTTTTCAAATCACATAGACCTATCTTGGTGGTGGGGAAGCCCACACTTCCAATTGGTTGAGTATCCTCCAGCATTTCCCCACACATCAAGACCCTCACAGCCCCCCTCCTGGACCCCCTGCAGTTTGCCTACAGAGTCAACAGGATGGATGATGCAATCAACGTGGCTGTACACTTCCTCCTGCAGCACCTGGACTCCCCGGCATCATCAGCACCGGTTCCCCTCAGGGCTGTGTTCTCTCCCCTCTGCTCTTCTCCCTGTACACAAACAGCTGCACCTCCAACCACGAGTCTGTCAAGCTTATCAAGTTTGCAGACGACACCACCGTCACCGGACTCATCTCTGACGATGAGCCTATAGAATGGAGGTGGAACGGCTGGTGTCCTGGTGCAGCCACAACAACCCGGTGCTAAACACCCAGAAGACAGTGGAGGTTGTTGTGGACTTTAGGAAGCACACAGCCCCACTTCTCCCCATAACCCTGTCTGACACACGCATCATGATGGTGGACTCATGTCGCTTCCTAGGTACCACCATCAGCCAGGACCTCAAGTGGGAGCCCACCATCACCTCCGTCATAAAAAAGGCCCAGCAGAGGATGAACTTCCTGAGGCAGCTGAAGAAATTCAACCTGCCAGCGCTAGTCGGTGAGGAAGTTCTACACCGCAGTCATCGAGTCCATCCTCACCTCTTCAATCACCGTGTGGTACGCTGTAGCCACCATCAGGGACATGAATAGACTGCTGTGCACTCTGCTGTGAAGGTCATTGGCTGCAAACTCGCCTCCATACAGGACCTGTACATCTCCAGTACCTTGAGGCGTGCAGGTCGGATCACAGCTGACTCGTCTCACCCTGGACACAGTCTCTTCGACTCGCTCCCATGTGGCAGGAGGCTTCAATCCATCCGGACCAAGACCTCTCGCCACAAAAACAGTTTCCTCCCCCTCTGCGGTCGGACTCGTGAACGACAATCGTAGACCTGCCACTCCAGCTGCTTTGCTCCAGTCACATGACCCTGTGTTGTGTTTGCAACTGAACTGACCCGCTCTGACTAGAACCTACACGGACTTGTATAGAGTAGCTGCTTCTCTAATTGTTGATTCCTTAAATTATTATCATTTCATTGTGTTTATATCTTAATTCTAATTTTGCTTGTCCTTTTTTTTCTTGCACCAAGTACCACAGCTATTTCCTAGTGTTGTGATTCTTGCACATGTGGCAATAAAACCTTCTACTTCTGATTCCCAATGTGGAAAAGCAACAAACCATGGCTGGATATCTGTTTTTGGCTCAAAGTCAATAATTACCAGAGTAAAAAAGCTCAGGGTTCAACAATGCGCCTACATGTGCCACGACTCTTCTGTTTCAGACTAAATTGTGACTCCCTTGGTTTCACACCTGTAATGCTTCTAGAGCTAGTTTAACGGAGCAGCAACAGCAGCCATGATGCCCCACCAAGTGTAACTGAAACAAAAACGAACAAACAAACAAACAAACAACAGCTTGTTGTCCAGCAAACACCAAGGCTGTAGCGTCATGTGACACAAACTGAACACCGTGAATTTTATTCTAAGGTGAATCTGCAGCATAGAAAAGCTACTTTGGACTTTAGCAACGTCCTGAAATCTTTAGTGGCCACCGTCCAATCACAGGATCCCCGTTTCGGTGACGTTCACCGGAAATAGAATAGACGCTAACGCAACACGTAAAACAAAACAGGTGAGACCGCAGCGCGACAGACCGAGAGAGGACGTCGTTTACAAAAGTCGGCTCCCACAAGCTGAACGAAGTCTTCTCTGGGTTGTGGGAGGAAGACAGAAAAAGGAACAAGCGAAGACGGAATCAGACGGCCCTAGTTAGCTAGCTAGCTCCCAGAGAAGAACAATCATTTTCCCGAGGTTGAAAAAACTCACCAGAACAGCGTTTCTAAGGCGCAGACGGTATGTAAAAGAATCACGATGTAATATTTTCTAATCAATGAAAATGCGGGCAAATGATTTGAAATCAAGTCGCTGAAGTTCATATTTTAGACGTTAGCAGATGAATTTGTTCAAATAACAGGTTATAGAAATGTTTGCAAACACGTGTCTCCGAACTTTAACTCCGACGGCGCCGTTTTCAGTGAATAATACTAACTCGGGAGTTTTACAGCGGAGATTAACACGTAATGCGTTTTAGTTAACATGTAAGGTTTCCTAAAATCTGTTAAACTTTGCTCATGTTGATTTGCTCGCAGCTCCGACGGTAAAGCTCTCGATGCTCCATGAATGTTGGCTAACTTTACCCTCATTTTAAATGTTATCTGTCTCGCCGATTATCACTTTTGTCACCTCGCACTTTCCCGAGGTGATCCATTAATAGCAAATGCACTTATTTTTCCCAATAGTGTCAGGTTCTCGTGTGCTTTGTGCGAAAAAACAAAGGACAAAGAGATGATGAGCTCGCTTTAGCTAACTACCAACAGCTAAAGTAGATGATTGGGACTAAACTATATAATGAAAATTTGCATTTAATCTATCTTAGTAACTGTTAAACACAATTTAATCACTATTTAGACATGACGATACCCGTGCCACCCAGTATCAAGTGGTGTAGCTCTTCAGAGTAAAGCTGTTAGCATCGTTAGCTCGCTAGCATGACTCAGTGGATTTGTGGGTTTAAAACGGCTGTGGCCCACAGAAGCGCAGGAAGCCACTGAAGACTGTAGCCGGGAGAAATGATTGATCAGTTTATCTGAGGGTGTCGAAGCTCGTCGTGTTGCTTTAGCTGTTGGGTTTTTACGCTAGTTTTATTTCCCTAGCTATGCTAGCTTCTGAGTCAGGTCATCCTGCCTTTTGTCTCGCTGATCTACAGGTGTTTGGATCAGTGAGGCCAACCCTTTCACCTGAACCTTTTATTTCAGAAGTCATCCATGTTTATAATTGAGTTAGGTTTTGAAGAACAGAGATTAATGTGCGTCTTTAAACGGCAGCATTGGAAGTGGTGACAGTTTTCTGTTTATTCCAGGTGAAACGTTTCCGACATCCGGTTTGAGTTTGGCTGAGGATCTGATCTCAGTCATCAAAATAGTCTAAACCAGAATATTATTGATTTTTATAGTTCAACCCTCAAAAAGTTAAAGCATCAATGTAAATTTTAACCACTTAAGAAATAATTAATTTATATTGACAGTTTATTTACTTTAAAAATTAAAACAATGCCATAGAAACGTGGATTAAATCAAAGCTAATCCATGACAAGTGATTTCACTCAAAAACGTTACTATAAAAATTATTTCACTTTAAAGAGCAAGTCACCCCCAAATCAACTATTTTTTCTGATAAACTATATAAATGTGTGTCTAATCGTGCTGCAGACGCGTGTCGTCAATAGTTTTGCACTTTAGTGCATTTTAGTTAAAATTTAAATGTTCTGCCTTAAACTGTCAGTGTTGTGCCGTTGTCAGGTAAAAACTCTGCACTGCATTTGAATTTAAATCTGCCACCGCTATTGGCTAAGAGGTATGCTATGATGTAAACTGGTACATTATGATGTCACAATGTCGTGAGTGTGTGTGTTTGTTAGTGTTTCCACCCTCTCGGTCTGCTAGGCAACAGCATTTGTTGCATTTTTCAAACATGAAGTGGGAGTGAAGTACGCTTCTTGTAGGGGGTGACTTGCTCTTTAAAGTGTTGGATTCACTGCTGGCGTCGAGGTTTGATTCAGTCATAATTTTATGTTTATTAATGATGACTGTCTCAAATGACTGTATAAATGCACCCACAGTAATTAATACCATCAGATGAGTCTGAGGCCTAGTCCACACGTAGCCGTTTTTTTTAAACGAATATCCGCCCCTCCAAAAACTTGCATCCACACCACCTCGTTTAAAGAAAAAAAAACTCTGTCCACACATACCTGGATAAATACGTTGTTAAGGACATGCCAGACCTGTAGGGGGCAGTACTTCCCTCGTTCTTAACCTCGTCCTTCGTCTGTGGTCTTCCGCAAGGAGCAGTAATTCCGCTTGCAAAAACAAACAAGCAGAAAGCGCTTGGACGATTGATAAAGCGAGCGCAGCTCTGAGGGCATCCATGCTGTCAGCTAGTGTAAACACAGGTCGCACACGTGATGTCAGCATTTTTTGTGTCGCGGAAAGTGACGTTGCGGACCTTAAGACTCCGGTTTTGTCCGTCCACACGCAGACACCCAAAACGGAGAAAACACAGATCTTCACTTTGGCCGGAGTTTTTAAAAAGATCCGTTTTCGAGTGGATGACAGGCTAAAAGGTAGAAAAATATCTACGTTTTGGCAGATCCCCGGCTACGTGTGGACAGGGCCTGAATTAGGGAATTCACTCTGGTCCGTCTGTAACCTGATTCATCTGATTATTAGGTTTGGTCGTTTTGTCCAAGCAGCTACCTCCATCTAATACAAGAAGCCTTATCAGATAGGCCGTCCATGTTAGATGTGTTATTTAGTCTCTCCTGATGTTATGAGTTGTATTGTGGTTTATTTTCATATCCAAACCCCCTTTGATGTGTATCTTGTCCGCTACAGCCAGGGCCCATTTTCTGCCCCTTGCTCCCGTTACCTTCCTTAGACAGGTCAGCTGAAGCGAGGTGGTGGTTTTATTCTAATTTTACTCTCTGGTGTCAGGCTGCAGAGGACGTGTCGCGGTGTACACATCCCACCGGCCTAAGTTTAGATTAGCACACTGTGTTTACACTTTGTTGGGCAAGCCTCTTAAAAACAAGGTGGATGTTATTTTTGCATGTTTGGGTGGCACCCATGCAGGATTTAAAGGTGTGCAACATCTTTCACCAGATTCAGGGAGGATTGGTTGATCCTTGTGGGAAAAGGTTTGCTTACAAGCTCCATGAGAATTCAATTCAATTCAAAAATACTTTATTAATCCCAGAGGGAAACTGATTGCTGTAGTAGCTCAGAATAATAATAATAATAATCAAGTCATCAAAGAGTTGTTGTATATTACAATGGCTGTTGGCAGGAAGGATCTCCAGTAGCGGTCAGTGTTGCAGCCAAACTGAAGAAACCTCTGACTGAAGACACTCTTCCGTTGTCGGACAGTCTTGTGAAGAGAACGCTCAGGGTTGTCCATCATTTTCTTGATTCTCTGGAGAATCCTTCTTTGCATTATCTCCTCCAGCGGTTCCGAAACTGCTGAAACTCTGGCTGAGTCCCTGAAAGAGCTTGGAGTTCCTCCATCCCGTTGGCCAGCGATCCCACATTGCCCACCATGATCAATGGAAGAGATGGTTTGAATTTCCTCTTTCTCTGTCTCCGTTTTGCTCCCGCTCTGCACCCACGCTTCTTGCGTTTTAGCTCATTTGGGATTTGTGGCTTCAGTTGAGGTATTATTTCAGCCTTTCCAATGTTAATCAGCTGCTCCCGATTGTAAACCAGCTTGTTGCCATGGTTAAGCATCATAACAAATGCTCAAAATGTGGAAAAAAAGCTAAAAAATAGCTGTAAAAATCCTCCAAGCTTCACAGCACCAGAAACAGAAAAGTAAAGTGTCCAAAAAATACCGTTTTTCTTGAGAAACTAGAAGGAAAAATGCCCAAGAAAAGGCTAAACTTACATATAGTCAACAGAGCTACTCCAACATGCAGCCACCCAGAGCAGCGCAGTTCCGGAAATAAAATAAAAGCATGAGAGGGAAAATTAAACCAGGATAAAATCGTCATTAAGACCCAAATGTGCTGCTGTCGCTGCCAGAATCTTTCTGCTAAAAAGTATTAAAATCTCACTCAGTGTCTGTTTATAATAATAATAATAATAATAATGGAGAAATTAAAATGATTCAGGAGAGACTCAGGAATTCAGATAGGTGGTAGGAATTAGGGATGCACCGATGGATCGGCATTTGATCGTAATCGGCCGATAGCGCCCCTATCGGTTTTGATCGGAATTTTCAAAATAGATCAGAGCCAACCGATCAGGTAGGGTTGTCACGGTAACCAGTGTAGCGCTAAACCCTGGTAAAAAAAGAAAAAAAGTTGACAATAATAACCGTCTTGTTTTAAAAAAAACTATTATCTTGGTGGGTTTACCGGGGCTGCGGTGTAGGCGCGGTGACCCTTACCAGCCACCGTATCATCGGCTGAAGTTGCCGGCGGCACATGCACGCTTTGTTTACAACAAAACTTTCTTGAAGCTAAAGCTGAAATAATGGTCAAAGGAGGAGACGGCAGCGCTCAGGAGGACATTATTATCCCTCAAAGAAGACAAAGTCGGAAGTACAGGCATCTTTTAGATATTTGAAGAATGCCGAGGGAGTTTATGGAAGACGGACGGCTATCCTGTTTGCAGCACGTGCAGAAAAAGTGTCTGTGAAAGGCAGCAACGCTTCAAATCTCATGACACATCTGCGTGACCATCACCCACAACTCTACAGTCAACGCAAGGCAAGTTAACGTTAGCGTTTTAGCTAAAATGCGTGATCCGAGGATTTGGGTTGAGGGAGAATGCAACGAGTCGCTATATAAAGCAGCCGCAGCGCCGCTACCTGCATATAAACCGTGTCGCGGACACCCCCATGTTGAAATGACGCTATGCATTACGGGGCTCCCAGGGGCAGATAAGAGTTGGTCTCTCTCCGAGAATAATTATGAATTTAACAATGATTACTGCCTGATGACATTTTCCCACATCTGCAAAGCTCACTGGAAGGACACAAACCGAGGACAATATTTCCTGATATAGGGGTTATTACTCAAGTAAGGGTAAAAAAGTATCTGATTAGAAGGCTACTTGAGTACTGAGTATCATCTGATCTAATATTTTTAAAATGATGACATCAAACAGACATAAAATAAGAAGTTATGGGCAAATATTGGTATTTTAAAGACTGAAGGGGAAAAATGTAAACAAATAAACAACATAATAACAAAATAACACATTTTAGGCAAAATTTAGACACAAACTGAGGACAATATTTTCCTGATATACAGGGTTTATTTAATTGTGTGAAAATGTAGCACGTTTAAAAAAAATACTGCGATAATACCGAAAACCGTGGTAATTTTGGTCACAATAACCGTGAGATTAAATTTTCACACCGTGACAACCCTAACCCCCAAATTCCACTACCTCTGCTCCGCTGCGCTCCGCTCCGACACAAACGCCGGAGCAAAATCGGTCCCGTTGTAGTCAATCAGAGCAGTTCCACTACTGCGGCCGTGCTCCGGCCGTGCTCCGGCAGTGCGGCGCCGTGCGCCGCCCTCTGTTCCGGCGTCCGGCAAAAATAGAATCAATCCTATTTTCGCCGGACGCCGGAGCACCTCGGCAGTAAATGGACAGAAATCACAACGGCCCAACAGGAAAAGGAGCGAGCACAATTTCCGTTTTTCACAATAAATCGATAAACAAAAGGCGTTTTTTGTTTCATATGCACAGGTTTAACAACTTTTAACAACTATCAATGGCGGCTGAAGTTTAAATGCACAAAAATAAGCCATAAATACAATTTCTACTATCAAAGTAGTCACACTTTGTTGATCCAAACACTGCTGATCTGTCAACACAAATGATGGGCAGATTAAACAGCTCATGCCGATGCTTCTCCCACACAACGGGTGTTTGGATCTAACTTCCGCGTTTATTGCTCGGACTGTATCGCAAGATCTCGAAAATCCCGCGCATGCTTGTTTGCCCCCCTCAGGTCTCCGCACCGGAGCGGAGCCGTTGTAGAGCGGGTACCAGTAAAAATTGAGTTCGGAAGCGAGTGGCTGCGGAAGGGGGGGGCGGACCGGAGCGGAGGTTGTGGAATTTGGGGGTCATACAGACCATTTTAGATTAGGTTACATTTCCTTTATTCCCAGATTATGTAGTTTGTAGCACTCATTATAATGTTGTAGAAAATTTCTGGCCAATGAACGTGATCGGTATCGGTGATCGGTATCGGTGATCAGCATTCTTTGATATCGGTATTGGTGATCGGCAGCAAAAAACCTGATCGGTGCATCCCTAGTAGGAATTAGTGAAAGCATGAAGTTGGTTATTGACGGGAGCATGCACACCAGCTGCACGGTGGTGAAGTGGGTAGCACTGTTGCAGGCAGTAAGGTGGTTGGTACGATTTCTGTCTGCAGCCTGTGGAGTTGGTGCGTTCGCCTCATCCTGCGTGGGTTTTCTCCAGGTTGTCTAGTTTCCTCCCACAGAACTAGAACGTGCACGTGAGGTAGCTCATCACTCGCGTCTGACTTTTGTTCTTCTCCACGTTGTTGCTGCAGTTTTCACCCCCAAAGCTCTAAAAACGAGCGGAGAAGCTTCACACAACCAAAGTTTAACGTACCGGCTCACTTCAGTCGATGACGTTTGTGCGTTTTCATTTGAAGGCTGCCGTGTTTTTGTGGAAGTGCTAAAGGACTTCTGATAAATGTGTTTACAGCCTCTTTGGCTGGGAACTCGTGAGTGTGTAGTATTTCACTCCCGTGACGCTGCGCGTGAACTCTGAAGCACCTCCAACATGACGGCTAGATGGAGCTCTTTCACTTTTCCATGTTGGGGGAGTGAGGCTGGTGCACAGCAACTGCAGTTTATCCCGTTCAGACTGCAGCAAGTCGCATGAAATGAATAATCCCAGAAGTGACTTTCATTTCTAGACCTAAACTTCTTTGTCTTTAGAGACTCCGAGGCACACACGGAGTAGTATAATTAACATTTTAAATGTTTCATCAGTTTGTGATTATGAGCAAAGTTCAATCCGGTGCTTTCATGTAGCTGATGAATCCCGTAAATGTGTGACTTGCTCAAGGGTCGGGTCGGGTGAAAGTTGAGCTCTTTCTTTCTTTTTTAAACGTGTCGGATGAGTCAACAAGCTCCAGCTCTGTTAGTGAAACCAGCTTTTGCTGTTCCACAGGTAGATTTGGTCCAGAACTCGAGTTGTTTTTGTTCCCCGTCACCTTAGCTTTAGTTAGATTTCATATTTTAGGTGTTTTCACCAGACGCCTTTGCTTTAACATATGCAGGTTTTTGTTTACATCAGACGATGTCAACAACGTGTTTGTTTCCAGGTGAACACCGTACGTGGCAGATACTGTTATGGCCCAGGAGACCAATCAGAGCCCAGTCCCTATGCTCTGTGCCACTGGCTGTGGTTTCTATGGCAACCCTAGGACTAATGGTATGTGCTCCGTTTGCCACAAGGAACACTTATCGAGACAGAACAGCGGAGGAGTTGGTTCTTTAAACACCATGAGTAAGTCTCCCTCTGGCCCCTCAGAGTGTGCTCCCGGGACCGGACTGTGACGCGTTTGTCTTGTCCCTCAGGCTCCAGCGGTAGCTCCACGGCGGAGGACTCTGCCATCCAGAGGTTAGAGGCCACCCTAAACAACGCTGCAGCTGCTGCAGTTGCTGCTGCAGAGGAGGCCGCCGATGCCGCTGCTGCGTCTGATGCTGCAGAAGCCCTCAGGTGAGGAAGTCCAACCGAGGTCCAGATACCCGAGAACTCACGGAAATGCTCTGGGTTGTAGGGGAACGGTTCCACAGAACCACGAATACGTCAAATTCCTTCAGACGTCGGGTGAAAAGTCCTCCGAACAGTGGCCGTGTGTGATCTTGTTTGCTTTTCTCATGTGTTCTCAGTGGGATTTCATCTTCCTCCTCCGTAACTAAACAAATGACAGAGATGAGTCTGTCTGAAGAGAATTTAGCATCAGCAAGTAAAGCCGACGTCTCTGATCCAGGTGGGTTCCTAAAATGGGCGAGTACTGTCCGTGTGTTTACTGAGTCGGTGGCGTAGTGGACGCACCTGTGCTGGCAGGCGGGGTGGCGCTTTTGTTCAGAGGCTCAGTAGTTTTACACGTATCAGACCACTGGTGTGAAATGGATCAGAAACGGGACATTTCACCTGACTTTATACGAACGTCGTGTCTCCAGGTGTCGGCCAGCCCATCGTCTTAGTTTCCCAACCCTCCACTGCTGGCAGTGAAGAGGTCCAAGCCCCAGAACCCCCCAAACCCAAGAAGAACCGCTGCTTTATGTGTCGTAAGAAGATTGGCCTCACAGGTAAGAGAAGAACCGCGCAAAATAAAACGAGATTTTCCATTCAAATGTATTTTAATGGCATATAAACACGTAAAACAAGCTGAAAGGGTCATTTCATCAGACACTTGGGGCAGAAATGCAGGATTTCCTTTAAATAAAAGCTGGACTGATTTAATTTTCTTTTATCAAACAAACTGAGTGGAAGATGTTGGTGACAAAGTGCTGGGGGGGGGGGGGGGGGGGGGGGGTTGTGTTTGTGGGTCGTTGACCTTCGGGATCAGAAAGGCCTTCTCTGGGAAGGTTCTGACCCGTCCTGCAGAAACTCGCTGTTCCTGAAAGTTTTCTGCTCTGAGGCTTGTGTTGAAGTTTTATCATTAACAACCCCCCCCTTCCCCTTCCCCCCCCCCATAATCCAGGTTTCGGATGCCGCTGTGGGAATCTGTTCTGTGGGATTCACCGTTACTCCGACAAGCACAACTGTCCGTACGACTACAAGGCCGACGCCGCTGCCAAAATCCGTAAGGAGAACCCGATGATCGTCGCTGAGAAGATCCAGAGAATATGAAGAAGACTTTGTTTGACTTTGAATATCAGGAGCAATCAGACTTTAAAAGAAGTGGACCGGAGCCCGGCCTGCGCCCTGAAGCCTTTTTCCTTTCTTCCTTTTGTTGCACCGTCCAGATCACTCACTCACTCACACACATACTCTGACACACACACACACACACACACACGTACATCAGTCAGCTCAGTGTTGTCGTTATGGAAAAAGCATCATTAGATGTGTTGATGGTTTTTACCCTTTAAAAAACATGGCTGCCCGGGCCTTTTTGTGGCCCCGCCCCCGAGGCTCTGCCAGGCAAAGGTTGGGCGATCGGTCTGTGCGTGCTCTCTGCTGGCTTGAGTGGCAAAACTTTGGTTTTCTTCCTGTTTTTGGCCTGAAGAGGTCAAAGTTGAACCTTATTATAGTTTAAATCTCTCTCTCCTCTCGCTCTCTCTCTCTTTCTCTCTCTCCTCTCGCTCTCTCTCTCTCATATACACACACACACACACACACACACCTTCCTGTTCTCTAGAGATTTTCTCACCAGCTTTCCGTCTCAGCTCGTTTTTGTTACATCCCTTCTTTATTTTCTTCTGGAGGTTTTAGTCTAGAGTTTGAGCTGATCTGACCTTTGACTTTATTTTTGGTTTCCGTCCACTAAAGTCATGTGAAGCTGAAGCCCCGCCCCCTCTTTAGCTTGTTTATGTTTTTGGGACGTTGCCGTTAGCCTCTCTGAACACTAGCCATTTGTTTCACTCGCAGCAGTTTTTCTTTTTCCAGATTTGACGTTTGGGCTTCATTAAAAGTTTTGTTTCTGGTGTGAGTGGAGGTCAGCGTGTCGGGTGATGTCGTTTGTTTTGTTGCTGTGAGGGGTAGAAGTGAACATCTCTGTGAGACGGTGATTTATGTTCTGCAGTGACTTCGATGGGTGGTTGTAGGTTTTAAATCATCATCCATGTTTTTTTTAACCCCTTTTAGTTGAACCAGTTTGGAAACTTGTTAGTATTTATATTCTGCAGTGTGTTTAATCCTCTAATAAATTGTATGATGTAAATAAATTATGTTCACAAATACACATGAGAGAATGCCTCGTCTTCAATGCAGGAAGCTCTTGATTTGGAAACAAAAATTTGGGGAAATTACAGACAAGAGCATTAAAGTGGCCAGGAGGTGGCGCTGCAGGCCAGTTAGAACTTTTTCTAACTTCTGCTGGGGAACAGATTGTACCTGTTCAAGGTTGTCTTTATTAATCCCCAAGGGGGAAATTAAATTGCCTTGGACAAGTAAACAACAACATGCACACATTCACTGGACACTGCTGTAAGCCACAACCATGATAAAAATATCAAATAAACAATCATACAAAACGCACGGCAGCAGGAATAAAAAAGTTCCTAAAACGTTCAATGGAACAACGGGGCGTTAACATTCGCCCGAGATCCTTAAAAACCTGGTGAAGGGGTGATCCTCCAGAGAAGTAACTGTCTTTAGGTTCCTCTTCTTCTTTTGTCCAGGATCGTGTCAAACGAGTCCAGGCGTTGCCCAACCACTCAGCCAGATATTGTTGATCCTGTTTTTGTCCTCAGCAGTGAGGCTCCTGCCCCAACACTACACAGCAAAAAACAACATGGGGGCGACGGTGGCTCGCCCCGTAATCGGAAGGTTGCAGGTTCGAGCCCCGCTCAGTCTGTCGCTGTCGTGTCCTTGGGCAAGACACTTAACCCACGCTGCCTGCTGGTGGTGGTCGGAGGGACCGGTGGCGCCATGGCTCGGCAGCCTCGCCTCTGTCAGTGAGCCCCACGGCAGCTGTGGCTACATCGTAGTTCATCCCCACCAGGGTGTGAATGGGTGAGTGACTGTGTTGTAAGGCGCCTTGGGGGGTTCCAGGACTCTAGAAGGCGCTATATCAAATTCAGACCATTTACCACACTGGCCATGATCCCCTGATAACACACATTCAAGAGCCTCCTACTTATATCACAGGACCTCAGCTTCCTAAGAAAAAACAGTCTGGACTGGGTCATGCCCCCCCACTTTTTCCAAAGTCAAGTTTTGACCCCTGCACTTTTTACCACCCAAAAACAACATTCATTCTTCGGGAAGTGGTTGGGACTACCAAGATGCCAGTCAGATGTAGGTCTCTTCGGCAAAAACACACCTCAGCTGCTGCTAAGATCCAAAGGTTTGGGATATAAGCAGGCGAAGTCCAGGGGCCTCGTTTATCAAGCTAGCTTACGCACAAAACGGGGTCGGAAAACTGCGTAAGCAACTTTCCACGCAAACTTTGGGATTTATGAAAGAAAACTTCGCTGAAAAATGTGCACAACTTTAAGTTGACTAAGGACCTGGCTTACACACATGCTGGACATGGAGAACACCTGCAGTGCTGCTGCTGAGAAGATACAATTATGAAATCCTGCAGCATTATCACTTGTACCGCTTCATTTTCACACAGAACAAGACCCCCCCCCCCCCCCCACACACACACACACGCATGCATACACACACACGCATGCATACACACACACACACACAGCCTGAAGCGCAGAATACAGAATGCATAATACCAGCAGGGGGGCAGATTGAGACAGAACATCATGCGTCTGTGACGGTGTGTGTCCTGCCACTGTGTCCCGATTGATCATGCACCCTGGCTACTTGGATAAGGGAGATCTCCGTTTGGGTGACTGGTTAGCGTGTGTGACTTTCGCCCGGGAGTCTGGGGAATGAATCCTGATTGGACCATTTTTTATATCCGCCACAGATCTCTCTGAAGAAGTCAGCATTGACGGCTTCAGCAACGCTGTGCCACTCCGTGGATTTTCTCTTATTTGTTTTGCAAAAGCACTTCCTTTCATTTCTCCACCTCACCCACAGCTACCTCAACTTCTGCTTCTTTGAAATTGAGCTTCCTTGATCTGCCTTGATCTACGGTCGCCATGTCTAACCCTAACCCTATGACACCCTACCATGTCCCAGAAACCTCCACCGGTGGTTTGGGGCCGAGGAGGCGGCAACAGTAACACAAGCCTACAGCACATCCTGTCAGGCTGCAAGACAGCGTTGTCCCAAGGTTGCTATAGATGGCGGCATGAAGCTGGCTGAGGTTGTGGAGACATGCAGACAGGAAGCTAACAGCAGACCTGCTCCAGTGCAATGGGATAAGGAGGAAGGAAAGAGGTTGGGGGGGACAAACATCGAGGACACCAACGGGGTGATGGGTAGAGATCCCTGCCATTGCTCTGCCACCAGGAGATGTACTGGGGTTAAAGGAGTGAAACATCTATGACTGGTGGTGACCCGTTTATGCCCGGAGAGGATTGTAGAGGGGTAGAGGGGCACCAGCACCGGGCAAAGGCACCGGCGAAGGGTGCGTCAGGCAGGTAGAGCACCAACCTGTATCACAAGTGATCTCTTGGTAAACTCTGGGTTAGAATATTTTATGTCTGCATTTAAAGAGATACTTTGCAACCTTTTCATATTTTTTAATCATTTTTTTGAGCGAGGATGTGCTAAAATGATCCTGTACAGGAACAATGAAAGGCTAGGATCCCCACAGGATCACCAGAACTGGACCAGAAGAGACTGGAAAACCTTTCCTGCTCTGATCTGGATTTCAGCTGTCTGGTCAGGGGGAGGTGTTCCTGTCCCACTCTGGACCCCTCAGTCCCACCTGAGCCTGGTTTAAACACCACAGCCTACCTGAGCTTGTAGCTGACCATGCCGTCCCTTTATGACCACATTCAATTCAACTGAAGTTTATTTATAAAGCGCCAAATCACAGCAAGAGTCGTCTCAAGGCACTTTGCACTGTAAACACTCCAATACAGGTCAGCTCAATCAGTTCGGTTGGTTCAGTCAGCCAATCAGTAACAAGTTTCCTATATAAGGAACCCAGCAGGTTGCATCGAGTCACTGACGAGTGTCAGAGTCTTTACAGCAATCCTCATACTGAGCAAGCATGCAGCAACAGTGGAGAGGAAAACTCCCTTTTAACAGGAAGAAACCTCCAGAGGATCCTGGCTCAGTATAAGCAGCCATCCTCCACGACTCACTGGGGATCGAGAAGATGGAGCAGACACACGCACGCACACACACACACACACACACATCCTTTGTTATTCTAACCTGTTCTGTTCATAACGGTTTGTCAGAATAAAGATGAACGTGTTAAAATAGCTATGTTGAAGGCTAAAACCAGCTCTTTAATGTTTAATTGGACACGTTTTTTGGTACGTCCTCTGTGAACGTGCTCCATTCCACACCTCAGAGTTCTCACTTAAACATCAGCTCAGGTGTTCAAAGGTCGTCTCACCTGTGGGAACAGCCGACTGTGTAATCGAACCATTATAGATGTGAAACACGAGCCTGGTGGTATGGTTTAGTGGGACTCTGAGGAGTTTGGCTGCACGGTTTGTGGCTCTGCAGACACAGCTGTCACTGTTTCCCTTCAGGATGACTGATTCTGGATCTGCTGTTTTCATAAACAGTCAGAAAATAAACACATCCCAGCTGCGTGGCGGCGTCGGCGCACTTAAAGCTTGGTTAATGAGCCTTTAACAGAGAAACCCAAACCCTTCATTAAATCTTTAAGGCGTCTGCTGTTCTCGTGTGGGTCTCTGGTAGCAGCGGGAGTGAGAGTGCTCCGCGGCTCTTTTAGTGACGTTTGTTCTCTGAAAACGAGAATGCAGTCATTACACCGTTCCAAGTAGAGCCAAGCCTCTGGATGCTGTGTCCTCGTCACAGTCTAGACCCGATATCAACCCACCTGGGCCGAGTTTCATCTCCTCAAACCTGCTAATGACTTATTAAAAATCATCTGTTACAGAAGAACAAAGCAGCCAATATCAATTAGCCACAGTGGAACGACCATCTTTGGTTTCAACAAATTGCTGCACTTATCCAAAAAGACCTGTTGATACCTGCAGCAGTCGCCATGGTAACGGAACGTTAGATACCCGAGTTGGGTGCTGGCAAGGATCCGAGGCAGAGCAGACCGAGCGCGCTCAGAGGACAGAGCACTTTTAAATTTCCATCATGCCGAGAAAAAGGGACGTCGATGAAGGTGAGCGGAGGGAGTTTTTTATTTTGTAAACAACAAAGATGTCAGGTTAGTTTACCTGTTTGAGATAAACAACAAAGAAAAGCACCAAATTTTAAGTCAGGTGACCTTTGACCAGCTTCAGGTGTTGGGCTTTTTGGTCGTAAACTAATATGTCTGTGCCAAAAACATCCGCTGACCCGGCAGCTCACCTGCTCGGTGCAGCAGATTCATTTACAGGCCAATTTTTGAAACACGCACTAAAAAAAAACTACCAAGCTAAACAAATGCATTTAAAACATGATAGGACGAGTGGATGATATTACTTTTCCTATATTTTTTATAGATTAATATTATTTTAGAATTGTTTAAATTTCCATTAGGCTAAATTACATCAATTGGTCCCAAATCAATCAAAAATGAAAATATTTTTATGACATGAACGGTAAATGGTTAAATGTTGGACAAGGTCACTTGCTATCGAACGGTCATGGTCAGGACCCAAACGCAGCATAAACCAGGAGGCAGCCAGATGTGGTGGGGATAATAAACAGGTACGAGGTTCATCGGAACAGAAAAGGTGAACTTACCACAGGTGAGAACATGAACTGAGTTTAAATTATGCCGAGGTGAGTGAAGGCAGCGGGAGCAGGTGTGCTGATGACTGGTTCCTGATAGAAGGCAGGTGTGAATAATAAACTAAGTAGGGAGGCAAATTACTTAAGAGAAAACAGTAAACTAAGATGAAACTAGAACTAACGGCTGAAAGAGATCAAACCCATGCAGCCAACTGGGGAAAAGTCAAGATGATGACAGGGACTCGGAGTAGAACTGCTGCTCCTCCGGATCGAAAGGAGCCAGTTGAGGTGGTTTGGGCATCTGGTCAGGATGCCTGCCGGAGGAGCTGGTGGAGGTGGCCGGGGAGAGGACGGTCTGGAGCTCTAGTTGGGATGCTGCCCCCGCGACCCGGACCCGGATAAGCGGAGGAAGACGATGACGATTTCGAGTGACTATTTTTAACAGCTTTTCAGACCCCCGTGACTTTTATGTCATAAAGCACCTAGTCACAAACCCGACAACATTTCTGATGAGCCTTCGCGGCTTTCGGTAGAAGTTGTCAATATTTTCTGCAGATTAGCCTAAACCCAGCCTGCTCTCTGACCGTCCTAGACCAGACGGATGCATCACCTCACACGCAGCTTGTGTCAAAGCCCAACCGCCATCCCCACTCTCATAGGCATTTACACAGCATGTTATATCATCTGGAAACTAATTTTCTGGGACATTTTAAGCTACATTTTCTCGCAGACAGGCGGCAGCACTGGTTTAGAGTTAGCAGAGACCCACATGATAGCACAAAAGTATGCAAAATGTGGATTTTTTTAGTAAAAGCAAGCCACAGACAAACTGGAATGTAAAAACTGGTCTACTTACATAATGATGCTAACATGCTGTAAAAATTTAACGTGTTAGCATTTGATGTTGTTAGCATAAGCAATGGGTCTAGAGAGCAACTGAAGTGTAATGTTAATGACCCCTACCCCTACCTGGCAGCAGTAGCTCAGGTACACAAGTGTGCAAATTATTGCCGAATTGGGACAGTGACCGTTGCGTCTTCAACCACGACACATGCCGGGATGCTGGTCGCTGTTTGGGCTACTTGCCTTAACAACTTTTAATATAACCTAGCCTTTTAAATGGAGGCATGTTGGAGGCAGGGCCAGGGAGAGAAATGAGGGCCCGGGCGGGATTCAGTCCCCAGACTCCCGGGTGAGAGTCGCGCGCGCTAACCAGTCAGCCAAAGGGACATCCCCTTGGCCCAGTAGCCAGGACGCATGACCAATCGGGTTATGGTGACAGGACATTCACGCTGTCACATGTGGAAGCGAAACAACTAAAATCATGGTGACTCGTTTGAAACAGCTTCTACATCAGCTGTGGACTATTTGGACTTGGGATTTTTGTTGTGGTCAGCCGTTGTACCAGGAAGTAGCACGAGTTGACAAAAAATCCTTTTCCAAGCTTTGTTTTAGCCTTCGTCTCATGTAGCAGTCAGTCATCCATGTTAACTTCTCACTTACTTCTTCTCTATCCAACCTACGTTCTCTCATCCTCTACTGCCCCCTAGTGGTAGACACAACACTTCTTTGCATCAAGAACAGATAGAGGTACTTAAATCCTTTATTTAGAAACAGGATGTATTTCCATCTACAACAGTGTATGGCGGACTGTCTCGCTGACTGACGTCTGTAGCGGTGAGTACGTCACGTGAGTTGTCCAATAGCATGTGGAGACACGACTGAGCTATGTCTATGGGTCGTGGTCAGAATAAGTATTCACATATTTAGGATGGCTTGCCAAGCTATTTGCTTTAGTTTTAGAGGAAAACTTTTAAGGTTTATATTATTCTTTTTGGTTTGTGTTCTTCCTCAGTCGAGGTCGAGATAGATGAAGACAGTGACAGTGATGGTAAGTAAATCCAACCACATCATTCTGAATCTGTTTGAAACTATTAACTGAATTAAAGACCCAAGAGAATAAATGTGACCATTCCTGTTCTATATTAAAGATGGTAGGTCCAAAAGGAAACCAAACAGACGACAAGGAGCCGGAAGAGGAGGAGGAGGTGCGAGAGGAAGAGGCCGAGGCAGAGGCAAAAAACAAGACAGTGATGATGAGGAAGAAGAGGCTCAACGGGGACGAGGAAGAGGAGCAAACAAGAGAAAACCGGCTAAGAAAAAAGGTGGCAGCGACGATGATGACGAGAGTGAAGATGAGGCTCCTAAGAAGAAAAAAGGAGGTGCTGCCAAAAAGAAGAAAGGAGGCAAAGCTCAGGACAGTGACGATGACGACAGTGATGACGATAAACAAAAGAAGGGAAAGAAAGGAGGGAAGAAAGGAGGGAAGGATGAAGACAATGGGAAGGATAAGAAAGGTGATGCTAAAGGAAAAGACAAGGATGATGACAAAAAGAAAAAGAAGAAGAAAGGTGACAGGTAGGCAACAGGAAGTAAACACTAACATGACTTTTAAAGTTGCCATTGAAACAGCTCTTATAATGATGTAATGCAATGAGAATAGTAAGTGATATGTTACTGTTAAGCTCTGTGGCATCCCATTTCCAATTAAAAGTAGAAAAGTGTAAAAAATGCTTTAGTTTTAAATGACACAATTAAGTTTGTGCCATTGAGCCCAACAACCCTCCAGATCTTTGCAAAAACTCAAACAAAACTTAAGAGAACCACATGACACATTTCCATCATCTGCACCTGCCCGCCTTCTCTGCTTCAGTTCAGATGATGACGACTCAGACGATGAGGAGGAGGAGGAGTCCATGTCGGAGGGAGAAATGGCCCGGCTGATGGAGGAAGTGGAGGAAAAGAAGAAGCTAATCGCCAACATCAGGACCAAGCCTTGGCGGATGCAGCGGAGGCTTGTTGTCCTAAAGTAATCTCTGTTTGATGTGTAGCACCAACTTCAAATAATGTGCTAAGGATAGTTACAGCAGTTAAACAAGTTGGGAATAAACACAACACTAGAGTTAGGTTTACTTTTGGGACTTGGCTAGCTAAACTGTTGGTGTTCTGGTTTTAAAGAGTGTCATCTGCATAACGTTTGAGTTTCTGTGCAACAGGGAAGCCCAGGAGTTTGTGGATAAGTTTGAAGGAGCTCTGGGCAAAGGAAAAGGCAGGAAGTGGTACGCCTACAAAGTGATGATGATGAAGGTTCGGCTCAAAACTCAAACTTAGTTTTCTTTTTGCAGTGATGTTTTCCGTCTATAATGTTAACATCTTTTTTATGCTAGAAATGGATAAAGTTTCAGAGAGATTTTGAGAATTTCAGAACCGCTTGTATTCCCTGGGAGAGGAAGATCAAAGAGGTGGAAAGTAGGTTTTGTTAGTCTAAATTTGTTTTGCTTCCAAACGCTCTGTGTAGATGTTAATCATTCGTGATGATGTCTGCAGGCCACTTTGGATCATCTGTGGCATCATACTTCATCTTTCTGCGCTGGATGTACGGCATGAACCTTGTTCTCTTTGGACTTACCTTTGGACTGGTGGTAATCCCTGAGGTGAAGTGATGCCAAAAAATCAGATAAACAAGCAAAATCACATGATTTGGCACAAAACATATTTTTATTCAAATAAATGTACATTTTCTAGGTCTTGATGGGTCTTCCTTATGGGTCTATTCCCAGGAAAACTGTACCAAGAGCAGAGCAGGACACCGCTCAGGATTACTCCGTCCTCATGGACTTTAATGTGAGTTTGATTTAGGTTGGGACACATGCTTAGATACCTTTGTAAGGAGCTGTATTAGAAATCAGGAGATCAGATAGATTAGATCTCAGGCCAGCCCATAATCCCTCAGTATATTCTGGGTCAACCCGCGGGCTTTCTGCCAGCAGGACATGCCTGAAACCTCCCATGGTAAGTCTGTCTTAACATACAGTGAGACATAGAAAATAATTACATTTTATTCTCATTTATCTTGTCATCAGTTACAACTGCAGCATTATTATGGGATGTTTTCCCCCTTCTTTAGGGATACTGTAAATATTCAGTCCTGTTTTACGGATACTACAACGACCAGAGGACTGTTGGCTTGCTGAAATTCAGGCTGCCCCTGTCCTATCTCATGGTGGGAATCGGTAGCTTTGGCTATAGTTTGATGCTCGTGATCCGCACGTGAGTCTGTGCTGAGTCACCATCTGCCTGAGATCTTTGGCTGAGCTCATTTTGAAAGTGAGTTCTCCACTTTTGTTGCTCAGAATGGCAAAGAATGCTGATGTTGGTGGTGGTGATGGTGAGGAAGGAGAATTCACTTTTGCCTGGAAGATGTTCACCAGCTGGGATTACCTCATTGGCAATTCCGAAACAGCGGACAACAAGTACGCCTCGATCACCACCAGCTTCAAGGTAAGCATGGTAACCACACAGCCTCTGACATCAGGAGACCCAAAGAGCATCACTTGTTTTTTTTTAAAGACACTTTGCTTTTTGATGAGAACAGGAGTCCATTGTGGACGAGCAGGAGAACCAGAAAGATGAAAACATTCACCTGCGGCGGTTCCTCAGAGTCTTGGCTAACTTTCTAATCACCTGTAGCCTCGGTGGGAGTGGCTACCTCATCTACTTTGTGGTAAAGAGGTCTCAGGAATTTGCCAACAGGACTGACCTCAGCTGGTATGAGAAGAATGAGGTAAAAGTGTTAAGTTAGACAACAACAACTGACTTGTTACTGTGCTTGTACCAATTTTTGAGCAGTAATTCCACCAATAACCAAAGAAGGTTCTAACAAAGTATCTGTGGTCACGGTATGTCTCTCCAGTTGGAGATCATCATGTCTCTACTGGGCCTGGTGTGTCCTCCTCTGTTTGAAACCATTGCCGAGCTGGAGGACTACCATCCTCGGATTGCTCTCAAGTGGCAACTTGGACGCATCTTTGCCCTCTTCCTGGGTAATCTCTACACCTTCCTGTTCGCCCTGTTTGATGAGGTCAACACCAAGGTGTGCTTTGGTCTCAACCTTTCTAGGTCTGTGTGTAGGAGGCAGGTGACTGATTAACCCTTTTGTTTCCTTCAGCTAGAGGAGGAGGAGTCCATTAAGAATGCCTCCATCTGGGCCCTGAAGGAGTACTATGCAAACTACTCACGTATGTTCAATGACACGGACACGACGCCTCCACCGATGAATCCAGCTGATGTCATCAGGGGACCCTGCTGGGAAACCGCTGTTGGCATAGTAATAGAAAATAACGCTTGTAGATTTAGGTTACAGCTAAAGTATTTTGTCCTTTTTATGGGTTATTGGTTTTTTTTTTTCTTTCAAATAACAAACAGGCGAAAATCTTTCGCCTCATGACCGTTTTCAACCCTCGGATGTCATCTGGGCTTTTAGAAGTCTTCATAATATTCAAGGGTTGAAAGTTCATAATTTCAAGGATTTCACTGGCTGCCCAAGCGGTCTGTGACACACTGATGAATATCTTCACTATGTTGAAGGAGTTTGTGAAGCTGACAGTGTCAGACATTCAGGTGTCCTACCTGACCATCCTGATCATGGACTTTGCCAGAGCTGTCATCGTTCGCTTCCTCAACTACTGCTGGTGCTGGGACCTGGAAGCTGGATTTGTAAGTCTGTCGGAATCTTTTTGGAACCTTTAAAGTTGTAAAACTGTAGATTTAAGATTGAGGATCTGTCTCTTCTGACCACCTTCAGCCTTCGTATGGAGAATTCGATATCAGTGGGAACGTTCTCGGGTTGGTCTTCAATCAAGGAATGATCTGGTACAAACTGGCTCTGCACAGTGAGCTTGATCAGAGTGGAGGTCAAACTAAACCAACGTTGAGTTTGTGTGGGTTGAATTGAATTCATGTGGAATGAGCTGATTTAGAAGCTACTCAAATGAATTGGAATACCCGTGTTTTATTAACTCATTCGCTGCCAGCGTTTCTCACCATTTTACTGTTTTTTTTAAGGGCCACAGAACGTTGCGCGCTAGGATGATGTTGACGCCAAAACAACCAAAACAAAGCGGAGACTCACCTCTTACATCAGGAAGAATCCACGCGTTTCGAGCGTTATCCGTTCTTTCATAATCCGTTGTTGAATTGTGATCGGCAGAAGCTTTTCCGGTTCGCGCCTCACTTTTTTTACAGCAGCGGCCCAAAACAATCTCCTAACACATGGATGTTCTGCTTCCTGATCACGTGACGTGTGACGTATGCGGATGAAGATCGGCTTCAGAGCTGAGATGTTTGTTCTCACGGAGCGGGGGCTCGTCCGACGATGGCTACACAGTAAAAACATGCAAGTGACGACTTAAGTCGTCAATGGCAGTGAATGAGTTAATGGATATCATGTGAATAGACTAAATTGTACTATTGTACCACCATTTATTATTTACAACAAAGTAATAAAATAGAAAGAAGAAAAGTATTTCAAAGCAACCAAAACACTGAAGGGTTGAAAGAATATTTTCAAGGATTTGAATAAGTTTAAAAACCTGACCCTGACTCGTTGACTTGAATGTTTTTACGTGTCAGGATGGGGGCCTTTTACGCTCCTGGACTCGTCGGTATCAACGTTCTTCGTCTCCTGAGTTCCATGTACTATCAGTGTTGGGCCGTGATGGCCACCAACGTCCCCCATGAGAGAGTGTTCAAGGCCTCTAAGTCAAACAACTTCTACATGGGTCTGCTGCTCCTCATCCTCTTCCTGAGTCTGTTGCCTGTTGTTTACACCATCATGAGCCTGCCACCTTCCTTTGACTGTGGACCTTTCAGGTAAGGTTACATTGGAGTAAGCACGTGCGTAGACGTGTTTGTGTGTATTAATATGAAACATGTGGACCTGAGCAGTGGGAAGAACAAGATGTACGATGTAGTCATGGAAACAATTGACCTGGACCTCCCCGCCTTCATGGGGACCCTTTTCAGCTATGCAGCTAACCCAGGACTCATCATACCAGCTGTTCTGCTCATGGTGTAAGTGTAGAAACATACAGACGGCTAATTTGGAACAACCTTTTTGCACATTTTGTGTTTATTCTACAAAACAGATCTAAAAGTATGATTTCATGCCGAAGTAAGATATAAAAAGTTCAGCATCCTTGCAACAACTTAGAAAAAAACAGAACAATTCAATCATTTCTTACAGATTGGCCATCTATTATCTAAACTCTACATCCGAAGCCTACCAGAACTCCAACATGGAGCTGAAGAAGAAGATGCAGATGGTGAGTAGAGAAGGGATATTTTCTATTGAGACTCCTGAGATGAGGTCAGATCCAGGATGGATGATTCGATAAAGACAACACCATCGCGGGCTTTGCCCCAACACTCACTGAAACACCTCACAGCTGCGCAGGTGAGGAGTGAGCACCACCTCACCCCTGCCACATGGACCCAAGGGATAAACCATCAATCCTGCTCAATGGTCAACTTTCCTCGCGGGGTCACCCATAAAGACAGTGGGAGGGTTAAATGAAACATGCCTTGATAAAAACAAAGATTTTCCTATTGAAACCATATATTTTGCCTTTTAAAAGTATCATACAAACACAACTGTTGAAGTTAAGTATCATAGGCACTGGTTATTTCTGCAGTGACCATGTAAGACACAATCTTAGGATATTGATCTAAAACGTCCAGTTATGGATGCCATGGTTTGTCAATTCATTTGTTTTCCGTTTATTCAGGTCTGAGAACCTTGTCCCTCGTCCTTGCAGCATTTGTGTTGGTTGTTTGGAGGATAGTCCCGTGTGTTGGTTTAGGTTTGTTTAGTTTGCTTTTTTAAAAATATAATTAGTTTTTAGTTGTAGTAATCTTTGTGGCGGTTCTAAAATTGTCAGAATATATTGATAATCCTATGATAATTTTAGGATTAAGACCCCTTCAGTCGTTGGTTGGTGTGTTTGTGTTCCCATTGGATTATCCACCAATGATGTTTTCACGTGGTGGTTAAAAACCAGCCAATAAAATAAGGTAATTTATCATTTATTCCCTTTGGGCCCTAGGCCTTTTGCTGCCACACCCGTTTGTCCCCCAATTGGGAGACGCTCGGGCTGGAAGGGTTAAAATTGTTAAACGTCTCCCTGGGCTGCCACCTTACCGTGGTGGAGGAGGATACATTAGGATACTTTTGGCCGAAGCTCCATGATCGACTTTGGTGTCGTTTCATCTGATCTGGGGTCGCATGTCTTGGACACTCCGATGAAGAGAGGGCCAGAGCTGTCAACTGACATGGTGGCTTTGACCGTGGGGGAGGAAGACGGTCAGGCCTGGCAGATGCAAGTGTACGTTGAGGGTCTGCTGGGAATGTCTGGGGGAGTCACCTGTCAGAAGAAGTTTCAATTCCCACCTCCAACAGAACAGAGGCGAGGGACACTGAGTCCGAGTGGGCCATGTTCCATGCCTCCAACCGGAGCTGCAGCCGCAGGGTCGTCGGTGCCTGTTGTGGTGGTGTAACGGATACATTTGATCTCTCTTATTTATTTATATGAAAGAATGAGATCACGGATACAAGCGGCAAAAATTAATTTTCTCCACAGGGTGGCAGGGCCCAGCTTAGACTGCTGCCTCTACGACCTGACCTGGATGGATGTTAAAAAATGTAATTTTTGAATTAAAAGTCATTACCTGCCTTCAATCCTGTTTCCCTTCGTGTTACTGCGTCCAGGCGCGGGATGAAGAGAAGAACCGGAGAAACAACAAGGACAGCACCAACCAGGTGTTGAAAGATCTGGAGGACCTGCTACCAAACCGATCCCTCGCTCCTCCTGCTCCACCAGAACCCGGTCCGTAACCCATACTAATCACTAATAAATAAAAAATACACAGTTAAACAAAAACTAAGGATGAATTTATAACACTTATTTGAAGCTAATATGAGATATAAATTAGTGAGCAAAACATAATTTAAATAATTAATAAATAAGTAACTCAGGTTTAAGCAGCTTGACTTGGAGGATTAGCTAATTGTTTATGTGTTGTCTTTTTTCCATTTTGATTTCAAACTGTCACTAAGTATTCATCAAATAATGATCAATTATTTACCGAAACATGATTAAAAATCTCATTGTTAGATAATGGTTAATTTGGTAATTGTGCCTGATTTGTTTCTTGTTCTGTTTAAGTTGACTTTAGCAGAAATGCGATCAGGGCATCAGTTTAGGTACAATCAATAATTATTGTTAAGTTGTTTACAAAAAAGTTTTGAAATTAATATTTATGAAAATGTATTTAGTAAATGTTTCCTTTTTCTTTTTTGATCCAGTAACATAGCCTTTAGGTAATTAATGAAATTTAATCAGGTTATGCTTCGTAACTTTCTATTAACTAATATTAGAATTAGCCCTTTAATAACACTTCACTTTGGGGCAGCAGTAGCTCAGGTGGTAGAGCGGGTTGCCTCATGATCGGAGAGTCATGGGTTAGATTCCAGCTCCCGCCAGGGGTATCCTGCTGTTGTGTCCTTGGGCATGACACTTCACCCAACTTGCCTGTGTTAGTGGTGGTCAGAGGGGCCGACAGCGCCAAATGGCAGCCTCGCCTCTGTCAGACCTCCCCAGGGCGGCTGTGGCTACAAGTAGCTTACCATCACTAGCAATGTGAGAGTGTGTGAAAAGTGTCTTTGGGTGTCTAGAAAGGCGCTATATAAGTTCAGTGCATTATTATAATTACTTCACTAAATGTTAACATATTTGCAGATGATCATTAGCGATGTAGCTAATAATGTTAGCTAATGAATAGCTCTTTTCTAATATGCAGTCATTAGCCTGGTTCCTGAGAAAAAATTCCAAGATCATCTGACTAATTTAACTGACATCATCATTTAATTACTGACAAACCATGACCCTGTAGATAAGTGGTAATGGTCTACTAAATAATGGTAGCTAATCTTTAGCGTTTTGCTAACATACAAGATTCATTCCTCGTTCTTTTTTAAGGCTATGGCTGTGTAGCAAAAAGGAAATGACCCGCTCTTGTACTTGTAGCAAAGCCCATTAGACAAGAGTAAACAGTCATTTAACTAATATTAGCTACTTGTTAGTGTGACGGCTTCCTCTTGTTGTCCGTCCAGGGTTATTGGAGTTGCCTCAAATCACCGCACACATACAATCAGGCCACAGACACAGGACTGTCCTTCAGAGCTTTTTACTGGCAGGATCTGATGTAAAAACAAGCACACAATAATACATCAGTGTGTGTGCGCTGCAACTGCATACAACGGTCTCCACCAGCTTTCATTACTGCTTTTCCTTTTTTTTCCATCATATGATCGTATAGTGGCATTTAATAACAACAGCAATATATTAATTTAACAACTTGCATTTCAGAGCAATACATACTTTCTTTTTGATAAAACATATAAAATAGTTAATAGTACCAACAATGGCAGCGCAGCCGCCGACAGTTGAAACAGTTAACTGCCATCAGTAGGTATAACAGTCAACTGCCACCGGCAGTTGAAACAATAAAACATTTACAAATCATATTTTTACCAAACACATCTGAACGTACCTGATGTAAAAACAAGCACACAATAATACATCAGTGTGTGTGCGCTGCAACTGCATACAACGGTCTGTTCAAGGCAAAAAGAAAAAACCCAAACATTACTAAAAGGACTGAAAAGCTAGCTTCCATTAGTGTGAATCTCGTCTATAAAGTTATTAATTTAATGCAAACACAGCTAACCTTTTTCAAAATATGCTCTAACAACACTTAAATATCTGTAACAAGTCCTATTGATATATTAATTAAAGGTTAAAATGACTTAAAGTGCAGAGCGGCTTCACAGTACACCTACCTCCACCAGCTTTCATTACTGCTTTGGTGGGAGGGGCTGTGAATGCGCCTGAAGGACCCGTTGCATGCAGTTGCGCCTAACCACCAGTAGGCGGCTCCAAAAACACAAACAATCACTGCACATTACTTTTGGTGAAATTCACATTTTCATCTCTGTTACACCCACCCCTGCTGAATTTCAGCCAAAATTATGAAAGTGCAAATACCATCACCATGACACAAAACCTCACATTACTCAACGTGGGTGTACACAGTTCAACTTAAACAGTATCCTCTATAAAGGATGAAGTGGCAAGGAAATGGCGCCCTATTCCCTACCAGCTCCTGGAAGCAGGATGCAGCCTACATCCTACATAACCCACGTGTAAAACAAAAAGAAGCCCCTAAACCAGGACTAGTACTAAGTTATGGTATATATCTATTATAAAATACAAAACACAGAACAAAGAACAAGATACAACTTGTTTAGAAAAGGGCATATTATTATACATGCCTCTACTGAAACATTTGAAAAACTGAATTAAAAACTGTCCATAAGCTGACCAGCATCGTCACTAATAGCCATGTTGGTCATCACCTGAATCAGCCTATTGACAGGCTTGACTGTCCTACCAACACGGGTTCTGACTGTGTGGACTGAGTCAGTGCCAATAGCAGACTGAGCAACCAGTGAAGTGTGTGAGAGAACACTCTGTCTATCAGCAGAGGGAACTAGCAAGGGATAAGGGTCATAGCCCGTCACACTAGGGGACAACAGAAGCCCCTCGTCTCCCTCCACTGCAGAGACCATCTCGCTGACGGAGTTGTTCATGTGAGCAGCATTACGGGATGCATCAGGTAAGGAGCTGACCCACTCTTGGGTTCTGATTCTTGAATCATTCTTTTCAACAACCGGTTCCGGTGTATCTGATGCAGTAGTAACATCAGATCCATCAGGTAAAAGGGCAGAAGAGTCGACAGACTGACTGGCTGTATCAAAGGGCAAAAAATTCACAAGCATCAAGAGGTTACGATGCACAACTCTGACCTGACCAGTGTTGGGATGCTGTATCTGATATGTGTGGGTTGTAGGATTCATGCCCACGACAGTAAACACTGTAGACTCCCAGCGGTCAGCAGTTTTACGCTTCCCTCTCTCCCGTTTGTTCGAGACTAGGACACGGTCTCCGACACCAATAGGTTTTCCTTTTGTGCGGCGGTTGTAGAGGCAGGCCTGCCGTTCCTGTTCCCTGTCGGCATGACTTAGAGCTATGGCCATGGCGTCCTGGAGATCTTTTGTCAGGGATAGCACATACTTGTCATAGCCACACAGTTCAGGATCTCTAAGAATGTTCTTAAAAAGCACATCAACAGGGAGGCGTGGCACTCTTCCATACATCAAATAAAAAGGGGCAAAAAGGGGCATAGCCTGTAGTCTCGTTGACTGTGCAATTGTACATGAAGGTTAATGTCTGAAGGTGTTTTGGCCAGTTCTGTTTTGCATCAGGTGGGAGAGCTCTTATCATGTTTCCCAGTGTTCTGTTGAAGCGTTCTGCGCTACCATTGCCCATCGGGTGGTAAGGGGTTGTATGGGATTTCCTCACACCCGCAACTTCCAACAGTTCCCTTATGAGCTGACTCTCAAAGGAGGGACCCTGGTCCGAATGTATCCTTTCAGGAAACCCGTATATACAGAAAAATTTGTCCCAAAGCTGCCTCGCCACCTGCTTTGCAGATTGGTCACGACAAGGAAAGGCCTGTGCAAGTCGTGTGAAATGGTCGGTCACAACCAACACGTCAACAGACTTGGTCCAAAAATCAATGCACACGACCTCCAATGGTGAAGATGTTTTGATACTTTCAAGAGGTGCTCGACCTTCTGGATCAGGGGATTTGCCAATAACACACCGGGGACACTGGCGAACATAGTCTTTAACATCACGGTCAATGTGGGGCCAGAAGAACCTCTGACGAGCAATAGCCAAGCTCCTAAACTGCCCTTGATGACCAGCACTGTCATGAATCCCCTTGAGAACCTCAGCCTTTCCCCTTGAGAACCTCAGCCTTTAGAGAATCAGGAACTACAAATTGGTGACGCCTCTTGTTGGTTACTGGGTTTTTAGAAAGTCTGTACAGGATTCCATTGGACATTGTAAACTTTTCCCAGTGTTTGAGGTACCTGGTGACCATGGCTTGCTCTTTGGGTTTCTCTCTTCTGGATGGGCGACGGCCACGGGCAACATAGTACAACACCCTTGATAGGACAGGGTCGTTTTGTTGTTTCTCACGCAACTCGGTTTCTGAAAAGACAGGTAGGTCATCCTGAACTGGAAGGATTAGCTGAGGTAGGTGTTCGAGGGTGTTAACAGCTCGTAGCCTAGCAGCAGATTCCCATGCACTTTGTGTTTCGAGAATAGCATGGACATCATCTTTTGTGAAGGACTGAAACTTTGTGCTGTTAGGGAGTTGCGACATGCTGGAGTGCTGGTCCTTGGCGTTCGACTGCCTAAAAGCCTCCTGGACTGAGCCAACTGAGACAGGGAGGGCCTCATTAAGGAGCTGGCTGTACGGTCTTTGCAACAGCTTCCTTACTACAGTCGACTTAATAAATGGCTCGCGACTTAAGGCATCCGCCACCAAATTCTTTGAGCCAGGGATATATTTAATGTCAAAGGCATAAGAAGCCAGCTTTGCCACCCATCGCTGTTCACAGGCATCCAAATGTGGCTTGGTGAGGATGTGCGTGAGTGGGTTGTTATCCGTCCACACTGTGAACATATGTCCTTTCAGCCAATGGCTGAATTTGTCACACACCGACCATTTGAGTGCCAAAAACTCAAGGCGATGGGCTGGATACTTTCTTTGAGCACGTGTGAGAGACTTGCTTGCAAATGCCACTGGCCGGGCCACACTCTCACCTTCCTGAACCTGTGATAGGACTGCACCCAAACCATCCAATGAGGCATCTGTAAACAGAACAAATGGGCGAGTGAAGTCTGGGTGGGCC